CATAAAAAATGTATTAACTGAAAGTGTATTCCCTAGCTTATACAAACTTCTTCAAGTAGCCATGTCTTTACCTATTGCATCAGCTACATGTGAAAGAAGTTTTTCAGCTATGCGTAAGATAAAGACATGGCTACGCAATTGTATGTTGCAGGACCGCTTCAACAACTCGTCAATTTTGTATATAGAAAAAGATGTTAAAATTAATATTGAAAATGTTATTGATGCATTTGCATCTAAAAATAGATACATTATTTTAAAATAAAATAAAATAATTATATTAATATTATAATTGTAGAAATTGTTATTATTTGATTTAAATTATTTCCCATTTATGTATGAGGAAGGAATTACATAGGCATAACATATTAACAGTTTCAACACACCTGCGGGTCATTTTTGTGGAATTATTTTAGCCCCCCCTAAAAAAACATCAAATCTCCGCCTATGAGTATAATCCCAAATACATGATAAATTATGCAATTCTTCTATAAACAATTCGGTGTCAAATGCGTCGTCGTTTTCACTTTGTTCGGTCATAATTTACCTCGTATTAAACACAATACACATGAGCATGCACTACTGGAGTACTGAACAACAACTGAACCAACTCAACTAATCGACAAATCTCATAACACTAGTCATAAAATAATAATGATAATAATATATGTATAGATTATACAGATATCAATAATATCTCTATAAATATAAAATAATGATTAGTGCTCGTGGCAAGTGGTCGGAAAGTGGTTGACGTGTCGCAACATGTGTGTTACGCTCAACCACCGATGACCACAATTTCGTGGGTTATCTAGTCGACACGATGCGACCGAAGTCGAAACTGATGGCAGAATGTGGTCCGTCTGAGTTCAATTGCAATTTTCATATTATTATATATGTTTTTAATATATTAACCACGAGCGACCACCGTTTTGAGGTCGTAGCGTGGTTCTAAAGTGGTCCGTGTGAGCTTACCCTAAGAGATATGATATTTTTCACCGACAACATCCAACATTTATCAATATTAAATGTATCTCTTCAAGGTCAAAATAAATAAATTTATGACCTGTGGCAAGAAATATTAAGCTTTCAAAATAAATTAAAACATTTTATAAAGGGGACACTACACTAGGCGATTCGAACGCGCGCGTCCGCGTTTTTAAAACGTCGCGATTAATCGTTCAAAATTAAACGTGCAGTTTTATATGAGTGTATAATATTCACACACATAAATGAGACGCGCGTTCGGTAGCGACTGGTCGCGTTCGGTCACGCTGAATCGCGCATGTTTAATCTTGAGCGTTTGTTCGATTTTTTTACGTAATCAATCTGTCACGGGTCTTGGACTTTGATCTGTAACGGTGCTTGGTCACCCGACAGATTGGCGACACTGTTGCGCCCGTCGCCCTGGTCCGGTAAGCGAAATTTTAAATCGTGTCACGGTGGCTCCTAGATATGCCGACCACATCGATATGATAGTAGCAGCGTGATAACGTTCATCTTGATAGTAAATAGCATTGATAGTAATTGATAATTAAAAATTAAAATTTAATAATTTAAAGTTCAATGAAATATAGTACATACTACATAAACTGTTGTATTTTAAATGTTTCACAGTTAATAAATAATTAAATAATAATTCAAAATTAAATATAATTGGTAAGTACATTAATAAAATTATTAAGGTAGTACATCAGTCATTAATAAAAAAAAATAAATTACTTAGCACTATGATTTGACCCTAATGGTTTATTTTTATCTACACAATATGATATTTGATGAGGCATTTTTGGGACTTTAGGCGCTAACTCACATGGATCAAATGGTTTTCTTTTTAATTTAAGAGACTGATTTGATGGTTTATTGGTATAGGCATGTTCAGATACCCTTTTCCATTTTGGTACTCGTCCAGCTGCCAAATTGCGTCTGCCACCAATTTCTGTTGTACGCCTAGCTCGAGCTGTTGGCTGAGTCCCAATGTGCTTGTTTCAACGAGTTTAATATTTTTAGTGTTTGATTAAGACCGCATATTTTCCAACAGTCATTGCAGATATAATGCTGGAGTGAGTTAACATTTTTCATATGAATTTACATGGATTTAATCTAGGCAAAATAAGTTTCCTGACATAAATGCCGTTTTCATTTTTTCAATAGTCTCATTAAATTTTTCTACATAATTATCAAATTCGCAACTCATTTATATCTTCTATATTTTGTTGTGTATCATCGTTATTTAAATATGTAATTGGTTTTCTTTGTGATTTTGAACTACATTGTAATTTACTAATGTCTTGTATGTTCTCAGTACTAGCTGGGCCATACCATCCTGTTTGTATATCAGAACTCCCAGTCGCTATAACATGAAGCTTTTCCTTGTTTCTTCAGTAGTTGGTAAGCACAAACTAAGATTAATATATAATACGTAACTGAACGAAAGTACACCA